CAAATGCATCCCGCTTTATCTATACCGGTATCTGCCAGATTGGCTTCTCCGAGTTCCTTAGGCGTCTGTGTGGTATGGCCGCAAAGCCGGTGCCACCTCTACATGTCTAACTTTATGTCCATATTTACACCACTCAGCTGCTTATCACGACTCGCTTCGCTACCATCGTTAGGGTTACCTCCTGCATGATAACTACAGTGACACACCAGTCCGATCCACTCGGTTCGAGAATCACTCTGACACTCATTTCTCACGTCACGCTAATTCCGAGGCGCCTCCGTGTGTTACATCGCGCGTAGCTGGTCGTCGAATGGATGTTTTACTTTGTTCGAACAACGTGCAATTCTGTCACTTAAGTCCACACAAACTGCTGTCGCCCGAGCCGTGCTGTCCTGTGCCATATGCACCGTTGTCCTGAGACTAATGACGTTTATTTCGCTAAGGGCGCCTCGCGGAATGTGACATGTGTGTGTGTGTGTGTGTGTGCAGCGCTTTCGTGTGGCCTGATTTTGATTGCTACGCACGAATTTGCGTAGGGCTGTTTTTTCAAAGACGTACGCAATGAAACCCACACCGCACTCAGACACCTTTGTCTAGTTTGTATCGACAAGCTACCGCTAGGTCCATGTGATGCATGAACGATTTGTCAGAGCGTTTAGGTCAGTTTTACCGACAAATTCGTTGCCATTACGCTAAGGATCACTTGAAGGGCCCGGTTGTTGCTGCAACGTCCTCGATTGAGTTTGGGTTGAAAATATTCGGTTTTTACGAGCTGTTCCTCGCGTGAAAAAGTCACCGGTGAAAACGTAATTACAACGCCCTTTGATACTTACTCACCCAACACTTTCTTCCTCGTCTTACCGCAACAATCGCGGACCCTGCGCGATTGCTCGGGACTCCGAGGGCAATCAAGATTTGCGTTTTTTTCAAACGTTTTTTTTTCAAACTTTCCTCGGAGACACACACATTTTGTACATTTTCTTAGTTGACTTGGCAGCGGGAAATGAAGTCACTGACGACCAAACTGGGTGCCGCTGGTCCGTCTCGCCTTCCGGGTTGGAGTCCACGTGACTCGCCTTTTGCTTGGCTCGAGACTTTACGGGACATGGCTCGCAACCGACACCAGTGGCGCGTCTGCTGCCGTCTCCTAATCGGATTGTCTGTTTAAAGTGTGTTTGGTGCTGAGTTATCTGCAGGGTAATGGCTGATTATGACGCGTGGCAGTGAAAGCCGCAAGTAAGCTGTCTCGCCGATGCCGCCTTATCTTTGCACGATAGCCAGCTGTTTGTGAGGGTATGCTGTTGGCACATGTGTAGGCGCCTTGACCGTGAATGTTTGCTTAGGGCATTGAGGTTTTCAGGTAAGTTCTCTCCTTCTTATTCTTTATTTCATAGGTCATCATGGTTGTATGGCAGCGAAGCATCAGTTCAAATGGCTGATGTACTGCTGTTGATGATGATGATGATGTACACCTTCTTATTTATAGCACAATTCACCGTTGTATGAGTGTTGTTGTCAAACTAACCCAATTGCCATTCACTGTGGCACACGTAATTAACGACCTGGTAATATCGTGTCTCTAGGAGAACGGAAGTATTTGTCCTCTGATTCCAATGTCACTGAGACGGCATTGCATACTCATCACACGGCGACAGCGTGGCGAGATTAGCAATTGGTAAAAACAAATATCCAGTGCGACGACTTAGTAGAACTATGTGATCACCAAAGTGTTGAGGACATCAATCATAGTCGTCCACACGCCGAATTCGAAATCCAACTTCTGCAATATCTAGCTGAAAATGTGTAAACAATGATGCAGCTCGCCGTACATCACATCACTACGATCGAACAGTGGCGAAATGTCTCCGTGTGATGATCCCTTTCAATGTGCATATCATTGTATGTCCGGGATTCTCGAAACCCCTCTGTCACTTTTACATAGTCGGGGGACTGAAACGTATTGAATCTTAAGGCGATCAATCCAAATCCATCTCTATTACTTTTGACATAATCCCTTTTTGACAGTCAACACGCTTGCTCCAGCACTGCTGAAGTCCCTTTATCCCAGTGGAAAAACGCTGTTCCTGTTGAAACCTTGAGAACTCCTCAACTGCATGCATGATGTCATTTTGCTTAAACACATCGCCGACCAGTCAAAACCTTTCGACGGTAACCACTTTTGGTAAACGCTGAACGCGGAACAATTTGGAACACAACATCAGAGTTTGTTGCCATTACAGCCGCTGATGTCTGGGCTTGAACGTTCTCTCGGCATTCCTGATCTTAGTTTTGAATTTTGTAATGAGACGCTGCAATAGATCGGCTTAACAGTTTCCGATGATAGCACGGCCTCTTTCAAGCAAATCCTTCATCACCACCTCTCAGGCCGAGTGTCTACACACATGGTTTGCAATCACCAAGTCACTGACTCGTTTCCGCGTATGGACAGCGTTCTCGCGGTATACTCAGCCTGGTGTTGTTCGCGCAACAGCGAAGCGCTATTACAGCGAACAGCTGACGAGTTAATTTATTTTTTACCTCTCAGGCACCCCAAAACAATGACACTACCACCTTCCGGGCTTAACTAGTGGCTTGGCTTTTTTCGGTGTCAGAGATGTGATATGCTTTTATCACTTGAAGTGTTCTTTTGTTTCAGGTTGATACTGGTAGACCCCAAACTTCTCCATAGTAATGCGTCGAATGGCGAATCTTCTCGAAAACAACAAATCCCCCTACTATTGTAACAATCGGTAACCGCCTTAGCTGCTTACATGGCACTCCGATTGGTGGCGGTTTACGAAGTTAGTTGTAGCTCTGGGGCCCGACCTTGCCCTCTGCGTGTTCATAACTGCATACCTCACTTACTTGTAAGAGTAAAATCGTTCGCGCGGACCTTGCAGGGTCAGGCGGATGCGCGCTACTGATGAGTCTCATTTGGACGAAACAGCCGTCTAGCGCTTTCCCGAATGTGTGATGGCAGTCTGTCTGAGTCCACCCGCGACAATTCTTCACAAAAAACTTATGGAATCCCATACTACTTACAATTAATCAGTAATCGCCTTTAAAAGCCTACATGCCACTGATTGGTGGTGGCTTGTAAAGACAGTCTTTACTCTGGGGGCCAGCCCTGTCCTCTGCATGTTCATAACATGCATGACAGTAAAGGATGAGCCATGCTGTATCGCAGTTAAATACCAGTCATGGCGGTCCGCTGTCGTCACTATGGCTCGGTGGCGTAAGTCGCTGGTACGTAAGAGTAAGGCTATTGGTTCGGTTCTGGCGGGTTCCGGAGAATGCGCACTATCGACGAGTCTCAACAGGACGAAACAGCCTTCTAGCGTTTTCCTGGATGGGTCGTGTCAGTGTTTAACTGTGACGGATCTTCTCAACAGCACCATAAATCCCGTCACTACTCTCTAGCGGACTTGTATACATCGCCTTCAAATAACCTCAACTTTTTTATTGGCATGATGCGCCGAGTGCGCTTTTTCTCGAGAGTTACCAATTGGTGCACCCAGCAGGCAGAAACTTTTGTGTAGCTAAGTTCATTTTTCAGAATATGTTCTGCTCGCTCTTTTGAGCTGCCCAACCTGGCTACTACTGCTACTACTACTAACCACTACTACGACTAGTACTACTACTTAACATATTGAAGTCTTCGATCTTCCTTGATCATGTCCACAATACGGCGGTACTTGACGGTCTCCTTGACCTCGGCGCATCTTTAGCACTCTTTTGGCCATGCTTTAATACTTGCACCCCACGTTTGACTATAGCATATGTAAAGCATTGCGATTGAAAGTATTGAACAAATCTTTGTAGATTTCTGATGGCTCCATTCCTCTAAGATGAATGCGTTTAATTACAAACCGATAGTCAAATTTCTCTGTCCAGCGAATCACAGTCTCTCATACGGTTCAAGACCCAGTGGCCAGAGCTAAAATGCAGTACTTACTACATTATACTGTGGGAAGATACTCGCTTATGAACTCCATGGGTATTTATTTTCTAAGTGAAACTCAAATTTTCCTGTCGCTCCCCGTGTCTTTTTCTATTTATTGCTATCAAATTGTTAATCGGCTAATGTCAGTTACTTCTCCTGATCTCCTGTTTTGTTTATTTTTCCACCTATCTTGTTTCTCTGCTTTTTGTCCTGGTAGCTTGCATGTTGACAGCTAGATACTTTGCGTTTCGTTGCTCGGGTCTTAGTGGATTGGGAGGACAGCATTGTGCGGCTGTTTTCTTCCTCGTCTTCACCTCGATCTTATTACGGACCTTCCATCCGTGGTCTAGTTAATTGGGTTGTAGATTTGCCACGGTTATGCCTCTGTTACTGATTCGCTGCTTGGTATCCTTCTTACTTCTAATTTGTAAAACACCGTCGTTTTGACGAAGCTGGTGTGTTTGTGCGACGTTTGTACAACACCCCCTTCCGTATCTGTCGCATTTTTCCTGCCCTCTACTCTGCGTCTTGTTGAAGTACCACTAGTCACATTATCTGTGTCTTACTTGTATGCGTTAACACCGCTTGGTAGTCTTACAAACTATAAAACATGTAATTGGCTACAATCAAAATCCGTGCACTGCAAATCGATCCATCAATTACGGTACACAACCTGCCATGATGTTTCTTTCTTACTGCGATTGGTGACTGCTTCTTTGTTTAATTAGTCGCTGCTCCGTGAGCCGCATGCCTTTGACAGAGCACTGCTACGGTAGAACCAGTCGCGAGTACTCACACCGGATTTGGTTACGCGTTACCGGTTCCAGCTTTGGCCAATCGCGTGCCGGGGATTTTACCCACCGTGATGGTAGATGCTTGTTTGTATCATTGGTTTGCACACTACCGACATCTGATTGGTGACAATGGCACAGGTGCTATTACCAAGCTTTCTGTTATCTCCACAGTAATGCGTGTCAGTTGCGGTCTTTGGGGCTGCGGTTCACTTTGACTCGTAATATCTATCACCAATACCACTCTTTATCTCATCTATTTTCAGTGACACTGGATCCATGGTCCCAGAAAGTTGCGTTTTCGGACAGCTGCTCAACTTGTGCGCTTTCATCGGTGCGTTTATCAACTTGCTTACTGCATCTTACGATTTATTGACTCATCATGTTGCATTCATTCCGAGCACGAGATCCCGTTCCTTTTGCATGGGAAGCAAGATTAATGTTGCAATATTTGAGTTTTTTCCCCCTCAAACCAGCACTGTCGTCACTGTACACAGCACTGACCTCCCTGTTCGAACAGGTCTAGAAGGCAGAGACGGTTCCAGTTAACTGGAGTGAATCATTTATAGTGGCGATATAAAGAAGGACAGTCACACGACTGTGTTAATCACAGGTGTATATTAGCCTAACACCAGTGTGACAGAATATCTGGCCTCGATTCTCGTCCGTCGCCTCACTGCGGAGCGAGAATCACGGATTGGAGAAGAGCAAGCAGGTTTCCGCCCCGGATGTGCCTATGTGGATTACATATTCACTCTGCGACAGTTGCTAGAGCAGCGCCACACGTATCCCAGGCCGACAATAGCTGTGTTCCTCGACTTCAAGAGTTCATTCGATTCAGTAGATCGATGCATTATGTTCGAAATAATTGTGTGGAAAAGTGTTCCCATGAAATATGTGATTACTTTACGTGTCCTGTACTCGAACACCATACGTCGTGTCATGATCTACGGTGGTACCTTTCCGACAACAAGTGGCATTCTTCAGGGTTGTCCAGTTTTCCCATTTTTGTTCATTTTCGTCGTGGAGTCACGATGCAGGCGTTGAAACGCTGCCTAGTGAAAGGTTAGTTGATCTTGAGTATACGAAAGAAATCGTCTTTCTTTTTAACGACGTTGGAGCGGCCCAATCAACAACGAATAACCTCTAGAGTGGTCCCATCATTTGGCATGCACTTTGCACGTTCAAAGTGCAAAGTGTTGCTGCAGGATCACCAGTCATTTGACCCTCGATAGCAAGGAACTCGAGGTAGTCGATCAATCCACTTACTTTGGCAGTTGTATCAGCAACGACGGGAGCATAGCAACTGAAGTCAGTTCACGCATTACAAAAGCTCCAACTGCCTTTTTGGATCTGCGGCATCTGGGAAGTCAGAAACGGGTTTCCCTCCGTCCAAAATGCTGTGTTTACAAGGTCACAATGAGGACCATCCTACTCTACGGCAACGAGACTTGGCTCGTCCTATCTGAGGACCGGCGGCACCTTCAAGTATTTGATCACCGTTGTCTGCAAAGTAATGCTCGTGTCGGATGGCACCAGTGTGTCCGCAACAATGATGTGCGTAACTTAGCACTAGGCAATAATAACCAGGCTAGTTCCTTAGAACAACAGATAGCATTGAATAAGTTGCGTTGGTTTGGGCACATACTACGTACGCCTGGTCACCGCTTACCGAGGGTGCCTTGTTTTGTTTACCAGATGTAGGGTGGCTGGCGTCCTGTTGTGGACGAAAATTAACTTGGCAGCTTGAAACGAAGTCACTGACGACCCAACTCGGTGCCGTCGGTCCGTCTCGCCTTCCAGATTGGAGTCCGCGTGACTCGCCTTGTGCTTGACTCGAGACGTTACAGGATATAGCTCACAGTCGTCACCTAGTCGGATAGCCTGTTTAAAGTGTGTTTAGTGCCGAGTTATCTGCAGGGAATTGCTACTTATGACGCATGGCATTAAAAGCCGCCAGGAAGCTGTCTCGCTGATGCTTCCTTTGCACGATAGCCAGCTGTTTGTGACGAGATCTTGTTGGCATAAGGCCTAGGCGCCTTGGCCGTAAATGTTTGTTTAGGGCACTAAGGTTTTCCGGTAAGTCCCCCTTCTCTCTGTTATTATTCCTCGTTCCGTGGGTCACCGTGGTGGTACGGCAGCGAAGTATCAGTCCGGTTTGCTGATGTACTGCTGTTGCTGATGATGATCGCTCTGATAAACGTTTTAGCTTTCAAGAGCAACCGTTGCATCATATTGAACAGAATCCTTGTAACCGGCTTAACTTAACGTAAGACTTCAAGTCCAAAGGCAAAAAAGGGAGATGGTACGCAGCATCTCACCGTTTTTATTCGATAAGTATATCGAATAAGACGATTTCACTAAGCTTGAAAATTGTTTGAACAAAGAACCTATCAGTCAATTTCTGCAAACCTGATATATTCACATTAGCTAACCAAAAATGTAGTTCGGAGAAAAAGGCAACCGAAGGTTTAAAGCCCCCACCACTGCGGTAGCGCCGCATCGCCTCGTTTCTACCATCGAAACACATCCAACCACCATGCACCGACGCGGTGTACTCAATTCTCATCGTTGACGCATCGTTCACTATGCTGTTTGTTTTCTGTTACCTCACCGTTATTCCATCCCTACTTCTCCACATGATTTGGCGGCGTCCGTATCCGGATTTGCCTGTCACTGTGACGACCATGGAGATAGTCACAGGACACCTGCGCCTACAAAGGGGACCATGGGTGGCTTGCGCTGCACCACCCACAGCTCCATCCACACACCCCATATCCAGTGTAAACCCGAAGGAATGAGACCGGAAGGCATGCGGATGGGAGCCACGTTTCATCAACTGAGCCGGCCCACACTCTTTTACAGACAAACACAAGCACGCTGTATTTGGGGAATCAACCGCACACAAGGCGGTGGCTGGACCGTAGTCCGCTCCACACTGAGTGCATGGAACCGCTCTTCGAGCCTAGCACGACCACAAGGACCGTGCACCCCGTCCCCTCCAGCAACGACCAACTGTCTCCTGGAGCCAGTATGGACGAGGTAATGGGTAATAGACAGATAGGCACCTTATCAACATGCACATCAAGTGCAGCCACACCAGGGATATCAAGCAACAGCCAATCACTTGAAACGACAAAATGAAATAAAATAAATCCAATAATGCATACAGATACGGTAGCATAACTCTTCGCTAAACTAGCATATGAAGTAAGTTGGTTAGCAATGAATCCGTGATAAGGAAAATATGTCCACAAGTTACTCAAAAATGCTACAAACGCAACAAAATTACCGAACATAAGCCCAAATAATGTAAGCAACGTGGCTAGCCAATAGAAGACTATTCAGATAGGCGGAACTAACTAAATAAACTGGAATGAAATTTATGCAGCTTAAAGAGACCTAGTTTAAGTGTAAGTTGGTTTAACCCAACTGCGGTGAAGAAGCATCAAAAATGCAACGTCAGCCTCAGCATGGGGCACACATACATACATGGTTGGCGGCATCCGGTTTCGGATTTGCCTGTCACTGTGGCCAGCCACAGAACGCCTGCGCCTACAGAAGGACCATGGGTGGCTTGCGCTCCACCACCCACAGCTCCAGCCACACCCCATATCCAACGTGAACCCGAAGGAATAAGACCGGGAGGCATGTGGATGGGAGCCACGTTTCATCAACGGAGCCGGCCCACCCTCCTTCACAGGCAAACACAAGCACGCTGTATTTGGGGAATCAAGCGCACACAAGGCGGTGGCTGGACCGTAGTCCGCTCCACACTGAGTGCATGGAACCGCTCTTTGAGCCTAGCACGGCCACCACGACCGTGCACCCCGTCCCCTCCAGCAACGACCAACTGTCTCCTGGAGCCAGTATGAACGATGTAGTGGGTAATAGACAGGTAGGCACCTTGTCAACATACACATCAAGTGCAACCACACTGGGGATATCACGCAACAGCCAATCGCTTGAAACGACAAGATAAAATAAAATAAATCCAATAATGGATACAGATACGGTAGCATAACTCTTCGCTAAATTACCATATGAAGTAATTTTGTTAGCAACAAATCCGTGATAAGTAAGAAATGTCCACAAGTTACTTAAACCGCTACAAACGCAACAAAATTACCGAAGATAAGCGCAATTAGTGTAAGCAACGTGGCCAGTTAATAGAACATAATTCAGGTAGGCAGAGCAAACCAAATAAAGTGGAATGAAATGTATCCAGCTTAAAAAGGCCTAGTTTAAGTGTAAGTTGGTTTAGCCCAACTGCGGTGAAGAAGCATCAAGAATGCAACATCAGCCTCAGCATGGGGCACGACCACATGGTTGGCGGCATCCGGTTTCGGATTTGCCTGTCACTGTGGCAAGCCACAGGACGCCTGCGCCTACAGAGGGACCATGGATGGCTTGCGCTGCACCACCCACAGCTCCAACCACATACCCCATATCCAGTGTAAACCCGAAGGAATAAGACCGGGAGGCATGCGGATGGGAACCAGGTTTCATCAACGGAGCCGGCCCACACTCCTTCACAGGCAAACACAAGCACGCTGTATTTGGGGAATCAAGCGCACACAAGGCGGTGGCTGGACCGTAGTCCGCTCCACACTGAGTGCATGGAACCGCTCTTTGAGCCTAGCACGGCCACCACGACCGTACACCCCGTCCCCTCCAGCAACGACCAACTGTCTCCTGGAGCCAGTATGAACGATGTAGTGGGTAATAGACAGGTAGGCACCTTGTCAACATACACATCAAGCGCAACCATACCAGGGATATCAAACAACAGCCATTCACTTTAAACGACAAGCCGAAATAAAATAAATCCAATAATGCATACAGATACGGTGGCATAACTCTTCGCAAAATTACCATATGAAGTAATTTGGTTAGCAACAAATCCGTGATAAGTAAGAAATGTTCACAAGTTACTTAAAATGCTACAAACGCAACAAAATTACCGAAGATAAGCGCAATTAGTGTAAGCAACGTGGCCAGTTAATAGAACATTATTCAGGGAGGCAGAACAAACCAAATAAAGCGGAATGAAATTTAGCCAGCTTAAAAAGACCTATTTTAAGTGTAAGTTGGTTTAGCCCAACTGCGGTGAAGAAGCATCAAGAATGCAACATCAGCCTCAGCATGGGGCGCAGCACGCACGACCACATACACACCTATATATATACCTATATATATGTATATATAAAGTGTATATATAAAGTGAATGGCTGTTGTTTGATATCCCTGGTATGGTTGCGCTTGATGTGTATGTTGACAAGGTGCCTACCTGTCTATTACCCACTACATCGTTCATACTGGCTCCAGGAGACAGTTGGTCGTTGCTGGAGGGGACGGGGTGCACGGTCGTGGTGGCCGTGCTAGGCTCAAAGAGCGGTTCCATACACTCAGTGTGGAGCGGACTACGGTCCAGCCACCGCCTTGTGTGCGGTTGATTCCCCAAATACAGCGTGCTTGTGTTTGCCTGTGAAGGAGTGTGGGCCGGCTCCGTTGATGAAACCTGGTTCCCATCCGCATGCCTCCCGGTCTTATTCCTTCGGGTTTACACTGGATATGGGGTATGTGGTTGGAGCTGTGGGTGGTGCAGTGCAAGCCATCCATGGTCCCTCTGTAGGCGCAGGCGTCCTGTGGCTTGCCACAGTGACAGGCAAATCCGAAACCGGATGCCGCCAACCATTTATATAAATATAAATATATATATATATATATATATAATGTATTTATCGGACAGAACCACACAAAGATAGATAATGGACATCACACATTCCTCGCACCCATCGTTAACAGGGCTTGCGTGTGTGATCTTGTGACACGAACCACTTATGACCGTTCCATGCACTACTTGAAGTGGCACTTTGACCTGTAGTGCGATTGACCTTCAGCTTACATTCCCATTCGTCGCGATTATCTTCTCACTTCACTATAAGTGCTATACAAATCCTAGATTGGTTCATTCGGCCTGACGAAACTTTTGTGTCAAAAGCGAAACATTGCCCATAGTCGATTGTTTTCAAACCTTTCAAAAGTTTAAACTACCTTGGGGATACTGGTCTACACATTTTGCGGCACATTGTCTAACGCAATGTTGAGGAAGTGTAGGAAAATAGGACATGCTTTCGCCGAGCCTCTGCTCTTATGCTGATTTAGGTGTCCCTGTATTATCGCCACCCTCAGCCTTCCATTTTCGGTTTACTAGCAGCGAAGTAACATTGCCATTTACCGCAAACACGTCTCCCACATCAGGGTCGTGGAAGTCCGACAAAAACGTACCGTACATCTTAGCCATTATCTAGATGCAGTGCACTTGTCCATGGGAACGTGAACTGCTCTAATAATCAAATGCCTCGACCATGGGATTTCAGTGGATGATGAAATGGGACACAACATGGACGGCACATCCGCGACATTTCGGATGGTCTGCTCTTGTCCTGTGTACTGCACTGTTGTGACCGACGCATCCAGGCACATGAAGGTCTAACTACTTTGTCTCCGGTGTTTACCTACGCATCATCAACCGCAGTGCACTGTTATTTTAAGCCGCAATCTACCAGACGAGATTCTCTTCGTGGCGCATCCGCTGTGCCTCACGGATTCCCATGCCACAGTCTTGCTACTTCTGCGAGGTGACTAATCGTGTGGCCCTACTGGGATCGTTTCCGATGTGGAGTGTTTCGGTGTTGCTTTTTCCCATCAATGCACTCCACGACCGGCTGTTTCGTCTTTGGTTTGCCTCCTCAAGCCATGATCTCCTCACATAGTGGTTGACGGCAGCTACTGACTTCAAACTCAACCAACGCAATAATTGAGATTGCATGTCACAATCTGCACTGCACGGCGGGTAGTTTAAAACCTAACAGTCAACTTCTAACCGCTGTGTCAAGCGCTGCTGGAGGATCCCCATGACCTAGTGATGCTGGCGATGGTCACTAACCACTATCTGCCGAGTTCTGTTCCCAGATCAGGCTATCTCTACCAGATGAGTTCAAACGAGGACGAATCCGTCGGTTGTTGCGTGCCATGATGGAAGACAGCCACACCGAAACCCTCCACTTTGGTGACGGTCCCACTGACCGTATTGGCAGAGGCTGACTTCAAAGGCAATCGACCCCACAATTGAGATTGCATGTCGCAATCCAAGACACACGACAGGTGCCCCAAAACCCCGAGAATCAACTTTCTAACCGTTGTGTCAAGCGCTACTCACGGATTTCCATGCCTTAGTGATGCTGGCGATTGCCGCCAACCACTGGTTGCAGAGATCTAGACCAGGCGATCTCCACCTGATGAGTCCAAACAAGGGCAAATATTCCTCGGTGACCCCCTATCTATCGTCATGACTAAACCACTACCTTGTATACAGCGCTACAGCAAGGCCTGTTATTGTAGCACCAATAATGAAAATCAACCCATTTGTTGGTCGCGTACGTTTATGTTCCACAATGTTTTTGTTCCCGACACTTGACATCACCATGGTCGCCTTTATATGCTACAGCAACGCATTGCCGCCCATGGCAGTGGTCATCACGTGTCACAATTGCCGGTTCTCTCTAATCAATGGTTTCCTCTAACTGTCGCTGTTCGCCCACTCCAAACTTACTGCCTAGTCCACTCATTCGCTTACCGCGTTTTTTTGCTATTGAGTTGCTTCTTTTTCTTGGTATCATCGATTCTCCAAATGCGTTTGCAAGGGATCCGTTTTGTAGTGTTTCCATCGGTTTCACAGCGAACTACCGCTCCGAATTCTTGGACCCGATTTTACATGCGTTTTGATATCCCGGTAGCATCACAATCCGCGTGCTATCGCGAGTTGTTTAGAAGCGAAATATTGATGTACCATCGTCATCAGCCACTTGACGACCATTTGAGTATATCATACAACCCCACGAGTAGTTTCCAATCCTTACATTACTTTCTCATTTCCGGCCCACCTCCTGGAGTACTGCTACGAAAAAAACGCTTTGATTCTGACTCTTCTGTTATTGTGCAGGCACCCTTTGCGTTTATTGCTGGTATAGCCACCAGATGGAGCGATTCGAGGCTCTTGGCAGCCCTCGCTCTCACATAATTCACGCCCGAGTCCACCTGGTTTCCGGCTTACTATCGGCCCTTGGTCTCTCAATCGTCGCGAACTTTCAGGTGAGTGCTTGGTTGGTCGATTCCGGTCCTCATGTATACTACCTATCTTTCAGCGGTATGTCGCCGAATTTTCAAATCAATGCTTGGGTGTTTTCAGTACTATTGCATCGAGAAGGTTATGTGCCGCTCTGTGCCCAACGAGCATCTTGTACTATCGATCCAGTAATGGTCGCTTTGCTTGCCATCAGGGTAGATGTAAAGATTCACTGTTCGATTTTGATGTTCCTGCCGTGCGTTTTGTTTTCGACTCGCAATCTCGATTGAGGCAATGGTTTACTCTGAAGCAAACCGCCAATCCGATCATTGCAACCGCATCCGAGTGTTTTTGTATTGCTATCTCCCATCCGCGACCTGTTTTAACCTGACTTAGAGTCTTCATATAGAGATATCCAGAGGTGTGAGTAGAACCCGACTCGTAGTTGTTGACGGCTTACGCCGTGGTCACTAGACTAGACCTCCACAGGAGCGTCTGACACAGCGGTTAGTATTACATTATTGAGCTTTGGAATACCCGCCATGTGTCTGGATTGTAACACGCAATCTCGATTGTGGACTACAGTTTACTTCGAAGTAAGCCAATGCTAATTTTCAATCACTGGGACCGCATCAGAAGCGGAGAGTTTTACAGGTACTCTCTCCCAACACTGCAGCACACGACGACCGACCGGTTTCGTCCTAATTTGAACTTGTCAGGTAAACATAGCTTAAGCTATGGGGGGAACCCAACACAGGGAGAAAGGCCTTGTCCTGTCCACCCGATCTAGATTAGCATATGCCTCGAACGGGAGCAATGGTTGACAGTCTGCTTTTCTTTGACTCGCCCAGTGCTCCATGCGGGATCTTAAGGCTCGCGATTTGCGACCTGAACCAGTGGCGTGTTTACTTAGCTATCTGTCGGATATTTTCGGTTTTGGTGCTGGACATTAAAATCCACCACTAGTCCCGAGAGAAAAGTGTTCTTGAGTATGCATTATTGTCAAGGTGTGTCAGTGTTGATCTCGGAGGTTTCTTTAGGGCAGTTGAGTTTTGCATAGGGTTTCTCTTTTCTCCTCCCAATATTACCCCGCATCAATAAGGTCGTTATGCTTATACGGCTGCGAATCATTAGTTCAAGGTGCTGGTGTGCCGCTCATGGTAATGACGATGTGACTATCGGAATATTTGAACCAAAAATCTCTTATTGCATGAAAAAACAACACCGACCACCTCCCTTCACACATTCCTTATACTTAGATCCGTATGCTCTAAGCACTGATGTGTTTGGCCGTTTTAGTGAAATGAGCTGACACACTGAAGACAGTTTGTCATGTTTGAAAATGAAGTTTTCCCTCCGGGTCATGGAAACTTGGAGATTGTGATGTTGGTGATCATCATCCTACGTCCAGTTTCATCGATTTTCTGTTTTCAGTAGAGAAATTGATCCACTTTTGAATGGATCTCAGACTATATGTTTCTTTGATTCCTGCGGATTCATCAGCAAGCGAAATAAATAAATTAAAGGGAGTAATAGGGATGTTGATTGTTATAGGTAGAAATTAACCACGTCTACACCATTTCCCGGCCAAGTTGTCCTCTTTGGCAACAGAAATAATCTGAGGGGGCATTCAGTATGAGTCTACTCAATTAATTTGTTCCGTGCGTAGGAGATGAAGCGTCCCACCTGCACCCCTATAACTTAGTGCGTCTGAGGTCCAATTGGCTGAAGGCGACGGGCTATACACGCACACCTACACAAGTGACTGGCGTACGCACGGAACAAATTAATTGAGTAGACTCATGTTGAATGCCCCCTTAGATTAAATTTGTTGCGCAAGAGGACAACTTGGCCGGGAAATGGTATAGACTCAGTCAAATATCACCAAACACCCCGTTGTCACATTTTTTCTAACATTATCAGCAGTACGCATTCCATCCGACCTCTGTGGGGATAGAACCCGCAACCCGCCAATTATGGCATTATAGGCAGTTTGATCTATGTAACTTGTATGTCATTGGATAGTGAGTGGCGCTATATCACATCTAGTAACTTAGTCACGACAATCGTGACCGTTCCCCTTAGCTCGGTGGTCTAAACCACAGGCTAGCAACAGTCGTGGTATGGATTCAAACCCCACATAGGTCAGTTAGCATGCACATCGCTGACCATTCCCGTAGGAATTAAACAGCTGTACAGTGCTTTTTCGAGCGTATGTCGGCTGTCTGACTCAGTCGGTATTTAAAGGACTTCTACTTATACCGAATAAATAAATGATGTTTTTTTCTGACAATGCGAGAGGCTGTGGACCGATGGCCAAAATAATAAGGCGCCTGCATTGTAATCCGAAGGTCTCCTGTTCGAATCTACGTAGGTGTGGGCCACCTCGTAGTATACCTAACCCACACGTGACCGGTGGTTGTTGCCTGACAGTGATGCTTTGGTAGGATATGCCAACGTAATACTGGCACCCTTTTCTCTCTCTCTTGCGGACCGACCATACGGTCGTATTCTCCTTGACGCCATGCAATACGCTTTGCGAGCTGATATCTCCTGAAGCACGCAAAGAGAATCTTTGCATACGTGAAGCGACGCCTGAAGCCAGCAGGTGATGTGCCAGTTCTGGTTGGCCCGGATGGACAGCCCCTAACCTCCAGCACTGAGCGTACGTCTGCGTTGACGGCGCACTTCGCTTCTGTATTTGCAAATGACCAGGTGTCTGTTCCGAGTTCGACGTGTACCGCTCTTACCGAACTCGACAGTCTGGATTGCGGCGTTGAAGAGGTATGTCAACTACTCGCCAACCTTGAAGGCACCAAACCTGCCGGACCTGATGGGCTTCACCCACTGGTTCTCAAGTCACTTTCGACCATCTCTGCTGTCGTGACTGACCTTTTCAACAGGTCGCTGTTCGAAGGTTCGTTGCCGATTTACTGGAAATGTTCGGCGGTGAAGCCTATTCCGAAAAGCAGCGACCCTAGCAATGTAGACAACTACAAGACAATTTGTCTGACACCTATATTAGCTAAGGTCGCTGGGAAAATCGTGAAGAAGGGATTGCTGCAGTTACTAAAGTCAAACGAGGTTCTGACGCCCGCACAGCACAGTTTTTTGCAAGGCCGCTCATGCATTACGAACCTGCTTGTGACGAGGCATGAGTGATTGAAGGCAATAAGCAAGGGGAAGTCTGTCGGCATGATAATCATCGGCTTCAGTAAAGCGTTCGACAAGGTTAGTCATGAGGTTCTCCTTCACAAACTCAGGATGTGTGATGTCAGTGGCTCACTGCACCGGTGGATCCGCGACTTTCTTGTTGGACGAAAGTGGAGGGTACAGATCGACGACCATCTAAGTGACTGGTATCCTTCTACAAGTGGTGTGCCTCAAGGCACTGTGCTAGGGCTCACTCTGTTCCTGATTCACAACAACAATCTACCTCAGCTTCTCCGGTTGCCGTGTGCCTTATTTGCGGACGACATGAAGATTTGGAGAGAAATTGACGCTCCTGACGACTGTGACGTCCTTCAGCGAGATCTCAACCGCCTATCCACATGGTCTGCATCAGTTCATCTTCCGGTTAACCTAGCCAAGTCTGTATTTATGAGTCTACAAAAGAGTGCTGACGGCCGAACCTACACCCTTGAAATCTAACCGTTATATCCCACACCCCCGTGAAGGACCTAGGTATACTCTCGCGCTACGAGTTGAAGTCCGTGGACAACACGAACAGGCTAATATCGTAACGGACTGCGCATGCTTTAGGCGCTCAAACGTAGCCTCGGTACATGGTCTGAAGAGGTTGCCACTCGCCTCTTCTCTTCCATCATTAGACCAATGCTAGAGTACGGTACGCCCGCCTATTTTCCGATTACCCGAGGCGAGGCACAAAATATCGAACAGGTAAAACATGTTGCTACCAGGCTCATCCCGAGTTTACGTGGCTTGAGGTATGAAGACCGGTGCGAGAAACTAGGACTCTACACCTTGTCCTACCGTCGGGTGCGAGTCGACCTCATTATGACCTACCGTATTCTACATCTCGGTGACTTCCCAATGCTAAGGCAAATGCTGCACTTAAGAGGGCCATGCAGCACACGCGGACACAGATACAAACTTGTCGTGCCGGATGTGAAATGTGTTCCCCACCCACTGTGCTTCGAACGGAGAGTGGTAAACATTTGGAACAGTTTGCCTGAACATGTGATGGAGGCAACGTCTGTGCAGCAGTTCAAAACACTGTTAGATTTAAACTTTATCACTATTCCGTTCAGAGAACGATTGCACACTTACGATGACATATCACATTTATGAGTCCTGCAATACCGTGAGTCAGATATTTTAAGTGTTACATTAGAACGACAACGATATTCACGACTGACAACTTTTATAACGTTTTACATCATATTTCGAAAGGGTTGTACAGAATTCATTCTACTTGCTCTATGATACAGTATTCAGTAGTATCGTTTGCCCTTCTCACACGGTCGTATTCTCCTTGACGCCATGCAATACGCTTTGCGCGCTGATATCTGAAGCACGCATAAGGGATCGCACGAACTATTGTGTATGTGTATTATTTGCCCTTCTCACACCCCACCAATTCATTAATTTTCCTATTACTTTTATTATTTCCACTGCATTGAACTGGATACACACGCTCGGTTGACTCCGATCTGAGTATTTAACCATGCTATCGGACCTTCATTCCACTCTTTTTTACCACACCATTGCTCTTCACCCCTGTCTTGTTTTGCTCCCAGGAAAGTTCTCTCCTCGTGGTTCACATGGTTGGAGCGCTGGTGACATTCACTTTCGGCGTTGTGTACTGTATTCTAATGAGTCACGCCAGTCGAGCACATCTGAATTCACTGAGGTGGCTTTGGGTGCTCCGGACTGTGTTGGCGGTGGTCTCCGCACTGGCTTTCATACTGAGTGAGTCGAAACCCCTCGAATTATTTTCCGTGGTTGTATTCTAGTTGCCCTCCCCCACTGGTCTTGTTAATTTTTTTGCCTTTGGTAGATCGCCTCCACTGGTCTTACATTATGATACCACCGCATGGGTGAGATTGTCTCATCGTAGTCTTATTATTTAGACACCAGTCGAGAAAGAGCGAGGGAGTGTTGATCTATAGTCCAGTACCGAGACGGCGTTTACATCCTCCGAGTCTCAGAACGGCGTGCACAATAAAATGCTTTCCGCCAGTTGGACTGTGCCTCGCACTGTTGAAGAATATGCCGTTTCTTTGTTTATCTCAACGAATAACTTGTAATAAGTACGCAAGTTAGCCTCATCTAAATGGTCACTTGAACAGCTGTTCCTGTTCATCGAAACTCGTCAACCGTTCTCATTCCCCACTAACACTCGTATGGGAGAGACGTGTCACTTTGATCTTGATTCGTGGACGCACTCGCTGACGACGATGACGACAACACAATTTGCGCGTCAAATTATTTGCCCCACTGCACGGACGCTTTTTGGCCACGTAACAGTAAGCAGTTGTACACGGGCCTCGATGCTACATGAGCGTATAACCCACCTGGGCGCTCAAGCCGGGCCGTAGAGATTGAACCATCACACTACGGTCATATGGTGTACATAGATGTCGCCGGAAGGCTTCTTTTCATACCTGCGCCACTGTTTTTATGCACCTACATTGTGATGGTCGCAGAATGCAAAATATCTCTGTCAACTGCTTTATCCTACACCCCTGCCCGTAGCCTAAAAATAGCGAGCCTGTTTTCCCATTTGACGGTGCGGGTTCAAGCCTGCGTAGGGGCAGGGCGACCCTCGCGGTATGCCTAGCCCAGATGCCACCGGTGGTGCTTGCATGGCAGCGAAGCGTCGGCACTGCGTACCAGGGTACAGCTCATTCCTCCTTTATCCTACATTTGTTACGATGTGTGCTCCGGAACAGGTCACAATGTTTACTTGTCCTCTAACTCATGTTCTTTCCACGATGTCAACTTGTGGATGCATTCGATCCTCGGCGTTGCGTAGAGTATGCTTGATTTTTATGCGAAACCTGAACATCATATGGCCTGTCGGCCGATTACACAATGCTTTGGCAGACATTTCCTTAAATGCTCTGGGGGTCACTACTATTCTATGCGGAGCTTCTCCCGTCTTGCCGAGAGAAACTGTGATTTATTGATTCTAACTCTGCATGTTCTTACACAGTGCTATTCTTAAATCGAACGGCACTCTTTATTACGCATTCTGGGAGTTATGCCGCCATTCATTATCAACCAATCGAACTGATGCTTCACAGTCATACAATCATGATGACCTATGGAATGAAGAATAATAAGAGGTAGAGAAGGGGGGCTTACCGCAAAACCTTAATGCCGTAAGCAAATATTCGCGGCCAAGGTGCCTACACATGTGCTAACAACATGCCGTCACAAACAGCTGGCTATCATGCAACAATAAGGCGGCCTCGACGAGACAGCTTCCTTGCGGCTTTCACTGCCACGCGTCATAATTAACCATTACCCCGCAGATAACACCACCAAACACACTTTAAACAGATAGTTTAACTACGAAACTGCAGCAGACGCGCCACTGTTGTCGACTGCAAGCTATGTCCCGTAACGTCTCGAGCCAAACACAAGGCGGGTCATGTGAACTCTAGCCTGAAAGTCGAGACGGCACCGAGTTTGATTGTCAATGACTTGATATCTCTCTACCAAGTTAACTTTTGACCACGTCGACCCTACATCTGGCAAACAATACAACCCCCCCCCCTCGGTAATCTGTGATCAGGCATACGTAGTAAGTGCCCAGGCCAACGCAACTGATACAGTGCTAGGGAACAAGCCTGATTATCACGGCCTAACACTGGTCTACGCACCTCATATTTGCGGAACCGCTAGTGTCATCCGACACGAGTATTGCTTCGCAGACAACAGTGATCAAATGCTTGATAGCCCATCAGATCGAAGGAGCCAAATCTCACTTTCATAGAGTTGGACGATCCTCATTGTGGCCTTGTAGATACAGGCTTCTAGATGGAGATCACATCACAAATGCTCTAGCTTTTGCGATACGTGCACTGACCTCGGCAGCTATACACCCATTATTGCTGATACATCCACCTCGAGTTCCTCGTTAGCAGGGGCCAAGGGGTCATCAAGTGTCCAGTGGTCCTGCAGCAACGTTTTGCAGTTTAAAGGTGCGAAGCGCGTACCAAATAATGGGACCACTTCAAAGCGGCTAATCAGTGTTGATTGCGCCGCCCCATCATCGTTAAACAGCAGGACTAAATTACCAGGCCGCACCTCAACACCTGCATCGTGTTTTCGCAAGTGAACACTCCTTGATGGAGTACATAGCGAAGTTGAACAAAATGGTGCAATTGGGCAACCCTGACGAACGCCACTTGTTGTCGTTACCGTTGTTAATATCTATTCTCTTTAGTTTGGCAGAATACGATCAGCCTGTCTTCTCTCTTCATCCCGCATAATTAATTTTCGTGTTTAACTCCGTTTTCCCTTTCCTTTTCCCCAGCGTTTGTGTTCGCTGGGATTGCGGAACGCAATCAGAAATTACCACACAAATGGGATCCAAATGAAGAGGTGGGCTCGATGTCCTCTATCATACAACGCGGTGTTAACCTCGCAGGTTACAGTACGGCAAATCTGACCCTCAATTTAATCGTACTTTTACGCAGTACTGTTTAACTGAAAGTAGTACAACATAAGTAATTTTACTTTTTTGTCGGACCGTGATGCCTTTTGCACGAGGCGTCAACTCTCGCATGGAATACGATGCATAGATATTAATTTGGGATGAGCTAAATATGTACCGAAGAATTGGCCAGCAGTGTCAGCTCGGATTTTTACCCTTTTGAATGCGGTCATTATCACGAATCTGATACCGAAACCCTATCATGCGTTAGCTTACCTGGTGAACGCTGTTTGCATATTGTTGTAGCGAACTCAAATCCATTTGAGTCTTCACAGCATTATTCGTAAACCACTTGCTTGTTGAGCCACGTTCAGGACGCTCTTCGGGTGATACTATTCAATGGTATCTTGAAACTATTTTCCACGATCATCTTACAACCTTCTTGAGTCCATGCGCTTCACAGTTGACATCCGGGTTCAAGTAAAAAGCACTGACAGGACGCGCATCTCCCATACAGCTAGCGATGAATGACTTAGCCATTTAGTGTTTGCTTTCGGGGTGTCCTCCGTGTGTTCGCTGTACGCAATCTCTGTGGTAACATTGGTTCACTTAACGTAGATCTCGCCCCTCGCGATTATTGGAACCATATCCAAAGTGTTGATTTACCGGCGGGCACTTTAATACACAACATTTAATTCCTATACACTGTGCCAAGCGTTGCTCCTGGATCTCAGTGGCCTAATAGTGAGGCCGTTTACCATCAACCATTTTATCCCGAGTTAGACCTTGCTTTCAATAAAGCTTCGTCTACTGTCGGTGCAAAACACGGAATTACTCATCGTTCCTCTTGTTACGACTGTGATGTACTTTACTGGCATGTTTAGCAAACAGATATGTGGATGACGCAATACAGGCTCACTTGAATCCATATTTGTGGGGATGACACAGTTCTTGATTCATAATACCTTGGATTTGCCATGACAAATCGGCAACCGAATCATCTTTCAGGAACAGACTTGCTACTTCTCATAACAATGCTATTTCACCTACGGAAAGTGTCATAGAGACTAGCTGTAAGCGTTTTTGGGAGGCACGCTTTATCGCCTCGGCAACCACCATACAAACCCTTCTACCCATTACACCGCCTTTCTAGGACATCTGGTAGATGAGGCCGGAGAACAAGTGTATCACCGGCCGGATCGCGTTCAGTCTGTGTGCTCTTTGATTAAATCAGTTAGGGTTCTCAACGAAATAGCATTTCCATCTACTCCACTTCCAGTGTGGATAGCGCCAGTGACGGATTTGCATAAATGAATCGAACATCCTCTTTCTGATTGTGTGAGACCATTATGGGTACCAGTGTGACTAGCGTGATACTACAAAGAGCTAAAACCATAGAGTCACTCACTATGGAACCTCATGAAAGACAGCAAAAGTTCGAAGGAATAAACAACCGTTGTGACAGTTACCCAAAGCACGGGGTGTAAGCGACAATTCGCTTTGAAGGGCCTTGAGCCAACGCGTATCCAGCCAGTCAAAGAACAAGAACACTGGACAAGATGACGGTACTATTAACGAACAATCAGGAAGCGCTACTATTGAGGTTTGTAATATTATTGCTTCCTGATTGTTCGTTAATAGTACCGTCATATTGTCCAGTGTTCTTGTTCTTTGACTGGCTGGATACGCGTTGGCTCAAGGCCCTTCAAAGCGAATTATCGCTTACAGTACTCAATACTGCTTCCTCGTTTGGAGTGAAGTTTGAAGTTTCGAGTGCCGTACTCAACAGCATTTCGTTTGCTATCAACTGGATTCCGGAATTTGACGGTTCTTTACGCCTTGAAGTGAAGTGGAACTCACTCAATCACATCGGACAATGTCTGCAAGGAATTTTACCTCTGAAAATCCCATGGATGATGCAGCATACCGGCACGTCATTGATGAATATCATGATGGTGCTTCATGCTCTGGTTCACATGTTAGCCATAAGATTGAGCATAGTATTATTTCCCGTCGTTCGTCCGCTGTAATGACTGTAGCGGAGTTAAGAAAAAGATAGTCAGATTTGGATAAGCAGAAGCGTTTAGTAGATCTTGAATTAGAAGTGGCCAAGCTTCGAGTAGAATTGGAAGAAAGCAATGTCCGCTCTAATCTTAAAGTGATATCGGCCCCTAGTTCTGGTGAGAGGAATCAGGGTATAGGCGCTTTTGTTGATCAGTGTCAGTTGTCGGCAGCCGAGGCGTACGATCACAGAGCCAATCGGGGTAGGTTAGTGTCACCGCAGTGCCTACAGCTAGATCTGCCAAAGGTTGAACTAGAATATTTCGATGGTAACCTTGTTAAGTATTGGAAATTTGTGAAGCAGTTCGAATACTACGTCGAAAGCCGCGTGTTTGACAGTGGCCAGCGACTGCTTTATTTGATTCATTGTTTTCGTGGCTATGCCAAGGAGGCCATCAGTGAATGTGTGATGTTGCCTCCCTCTGTGGCCTACGATAGAGCGAGAAAGGTTCTCCGTGAACTCTTTGGAGAATCCTACACGGGGCATATCGGTCGTATGTGTTGGTTGTCTAGATGTCAACACCATAAGCTATTACTCATCAGCATGCGTGCGCTTAGCACTTCCCAATGTTAACAAATGCTTTTATCGCATCCCAAGAAATGTCACCTTTCAGTTTTCATGACATCTTCACTTTAAAACCGCATTGGATACAACCGCGCAACTGCACAGACTCAGGCGCACGCAATACACGTAGGCCGGTAAGGTTACGGGAAGGACTGGATTACCGCTTCTCCTCGAGATGAATAGCACCCACAATGATGTCACTTCACGCTACCATGGTACGAGAAAGGCTTGTTCTAGCACCCATTGCTTGCACAATTCGAGTTTCACTTGTCCCAGACCATAAGGTAGCTTGAGCCTCGTCCAGTCGCCTTACTGTTGCTTGTAGTTATGGGCTTATGCAGCTGCGCGGTTGTGTCAAGTTTGATTTGCGGAACGTGAAATTTGGTTTGCAAGGCGCCCCCATTTCAATGTGAAAATAGTATAGCATTGCGGTGGTTATTACGGCGATCAAATGATATTTATGCTACTTTTCTCTCGCAAGTAGTATATGTGTTACAGCACTTTGGCTTCACACCACGTCGAATGCAGCAGTTTGGGAACATTCGTCACCGTAGTTCCATGACGGAACGCAAAGCGGTAGAATGTCCAGGAATTGTAACTTGGCTGGTGCCAAGAGATTTGCTTGGTTTTTTCAATTGTGCACAAAAACGGCACATGGAGTTGTTCAGAAAGTATGTTATTTTACAACAAGTAACTATCTTTTGTGTCGGAACAATCGTGCCTGCAATTCGCGCATTGTGTTGCAATACATTTCTTCCTATCGCCTGTTTCTCACAAACCCACACTACTCGTGCCTGCGGGGTCCTATTTAACCAACGTGTGTTCAACTGCTAGACAATTAGTGTTGAAATGTTTTCATCCTCGTTTCTCTCGGTTCATTATGCCAACACAGCTTGCGCTCTGGCATTCGCTTCTGTGTTCCTTAAGGCGGAATCAAGCAGGTGTTCGGTCTTACTCTAAGAGTCACAACAGTCTTAGCGTTTCCCAACATCAGACAGTAGCCGTGGTTCTAATGAGCACCTCATGTGAGATCGTTTGATTACAATGTTATCTCTTCACCCGGGCTAACTATTTAGTGATTTCGATTTTCCCTAGACCATCCATCGATGTTGCATAATGACTAGTCCTTTTCATTTCAGCATTGTTTCGATGGCTCTGAATCTTCGCGATTTGCAATAGCCCCTGTTTTTAATTACAGTCAAACCTGTCTAAGGCGATCACTCAAGTGACCGACAAAATGGGGTTGCCATGCATAGGGACACTCCTCAAAAGGGAAAACGTTGGGGGTGTTTTTGGCTGGTGGCCATAACAGATTAAGCTATATCGGCATACAACACTATGATATGAAGTACAAACAGTTGCTTTTCCTCATTGTACTCACGCACCGTCACTGGTGCGCTAAGTGTCACTTATCTGTCCTGATTGGTGGTTCTGTTGTAACGCCCTTACTCTTGATGTTTCTGAGCGTTACTGCCTTGTATTTCCGTGCTTAATCCTCCCTTTCGCACCCCGCTCCCCGCAGCTGTATACGTACCACGCTTTGGGCACCACTTGTGAATGGCTATTGGCATTCTGCTTCCTCGCAATTTTCATCACAATGATCTATGAGTTGCGAGATTACGCCCTGGATCCAGTGAAGGTAATGTTTTAACTAAAAACGGAATTTTTATTCCCGAATTTCGCAGGCCACGCTTGTTCCTCGGTGTATAACCAACACCCACAGGTATTTCACTGCACCCATCACGTGTCCTTCGAAAATTTTCACTATTTGGATATATATTCACCAGGTTTTGTCACACACGTGTTGTAACCTGCGAATTTTTCTTGAAGCGCGATCCGCGACTTAACATGCACCGAAGTAGGGGGTGAATGTTTAGCGTCGCTGTTCCCAGCAACACTTTGATTATTTTTCAAAAGTTCCTCCATTGCTGATAAATGTGGGATATTGTCCGCTATCAACAGTCACTTCTTCACTGGTTCGATCTTGTTCGGTCTCATCACGCAAAGATATCAAGTACTCGAACCCAGTGCTTCAGGGATATCAGCCGAAACATCCATCACTAAACCACGGAGTCAGGATGTGCAACGCTTGGCACAACGGTTAATGACTAATGGCAGGATCATTTTGAGGTGCTCGTTGTGTGATTGGATTGCAACGCGCAATCTAAATGTGGACTCCGATAGTCATTGAAGTGAATCTCGATCGATGCGATCAGTTGGACGGCAACTGATGAAGAAGATGGATATTGGGGGTTTCTCGCTCGGAAACAATGTACTCCACGACTGTTTTGCACTTATTTGATCTTCTAAGGTAGAGATGGCAGGATTGCGGCTCAAACCCGGGATTTTTGACGTTTTAGCCGAAACTTCGCCTCCTGAACCACTTTCAATGCGAATTGCAGCCTATCTTGAAGTTACATGTCGTCCTTCTTTCACACAATGAATACCACAACCTGACTAATGAAATCCAACGGTCTGGACCTCAACAGTTGACCTAGCAATGTGGTAAAGGATGGTGCGTTAGTAACTTAGGATCTAATGACACTATGGAGTTTGCCAATGCATTTTTGCTAACTAATGCGCATGCTACGAACCTTATGCACTGGGCCAGATATATTATCATTAGACGAGCCAATTGTTCAGAATGAGAGGTCGGTGGCTGACGCCCATCGTCAAATGTCGTGTTCCATCGGTCGGTAATTAACTAAGCGCTTTACAGGCCCGCCAACATCCAGGCAAAACTGTATCCAACTACCAGTGGGTTTCATTGTTTATGAACCACAACTATACTACCATTAGTGCTTGCAACCTCTGTTCCTCACTTATCTGAGTCTTCTTGATGTTGGAGATGTAGCACAACTCGTTCTGGGGCCTGTCTTGAAAGTTGGATCTACCGTGGAAATGTGACCCCCACCTTGTGCCACATTTCATGCATACTCGTCTTGCAGAGAGGTCACTTCGTCTTCGAAACGTATCGATGCACTCTGGTGGTCTCCCTTAGTAGGTCTTTAATGTCTATGCGCGCTAGCTTATCCTGAAACTCGGACTCCATTGACCACAGTTGTCCCTTATGGATTGTGAAGAGTCTTGTTCCGTACACGGTTGGCGCGTGCCTATCAATAACTCGCAACGTCCCGTCGTAAATGTGGTTATCTAAGCCGTCGAGGAAGTACCGTTCCCATGTTTTTTTTGCCCGACAACTCCCAGTTTTCTGTGCATCATTCATGTAGCTGCCCTAGGAGCGATTTTTCCGCATACGAGTCAGTCCATTACCGGCACTATATGAAGACAAAACGACCGGAAGTCCTTCGCTTCTTAATTAATACCACAAATATCTTGACGCATTGGGAGTGTTCCCGTGTTGCTGCTCTCAACACTGACAACCCATGACCGGTTTCGTCCTCATTTGGCCTCATCAGATAGTGATAGCCTGAACTGAGATGGAACTCGGAACTCTGGGACTCATCTCAGGTTGGTAATACAATCGCATGGCCCGCTGGTGCCATCTATGGAGCAGCGGGACATCGTCGGTCACGAGTTAAAGTCCTGCTTCCTACAATTGAGTAGCGTTGCTGATGAGCTGCATTAAGACGGACTAATCCTTCATCACAAATCGCTATATCGCAACATTGCTACAAATACACGAGAATTTACTACATTTACAGCGTATAACCCAAATGGTCAAAATCAG